TCATGTAAAAACACTTCAATATAATAAGCAAGCATATGAGCTCTATCTATGGAGTCCATCCCCTATCTCCTCCCAACAACATCCGGTTTAGAGGTCCATCCCCTATCTTCCCCTAAACCGCGGAGTACATCCCCCATCTCCTACTCTACACACAATGCATATAAACACAAGGGTTCTATACACAATCAATCAATACATAAATTTAATGTATTCAATCCACCGTCATACTCTGTGACACATTCAATCAATTAGTTTTAGTTTGCCTAATCATCATGCATTGTCTACAACAATCACGACTATCCTCCACCGATAGTCCAAAGCAGTTATTTCTAAACAGAAAATAAATGCACAAATGGATATTAAATCAACATTTCACTTCGGTGCGTGATAAATAATTCAACTACACCCTTTAACCCCATGCATTCCCAATCTCAACCATTCCATTTCATAACCTCATTTCTCACAATTAATTTTCCCAATTAATCAACAATGTAATTAGGTGATTTTCCATAATTAACATTACAACCCTTAAGGTTCCATTTCATCAATGATTCAACATTTATTCCATTTCTCTATGCCAAACATGCACCTAGGTTTATTACGAATAAAACCCCAACTTTTGTAAAATTACACAAAGGCCCCAAACTCTCACAAAATTACCAAACCAACCCCAACATCTCAAAATACTAAAATTTAAAGACAAAATCCATAGAGAGGAGTAGGATATCCCTACCTCAAATCCGGAGCCCCAAAGGAGAGGATGACAAAACCCAACGTGCTCCAAAGACCAAGATTTTCAGTTCAAAACGACGCCCTCGACGATCAACACGACTTTTACAAAGACCGATGGTGAGGAACTCACCCTAGCTAGATCAAAATCTAGAGAGAAGGTAAGATTTTAGAGAGAGGAGCTCTCAAAATAGCTTTTAGAAAAAGTAGGAGAGAGAAAGAAATGTAAAAAGTGATTTAAAATCACCCAGCGGATAACTCATATACGTATGGCCCGCTCGAGCGGAGAACACAACGCTCGAGCGCCAAGAACAAAACTCTGGACACGCTCGAGCGCAATAAGGCCCGCTCGAGCGCCAAGACACAAGAATAAAGCACTTCCGCTCGAGCGCGAAAACCAGTCCGCTCGAGCGCAGATTTCCACCTCCCAGAACTTACACCCAGAAAGTACTACCCGCTCGAGCGCCAAACGACCCGCTCGAGCGCCACCGCTCGAGCGTAAACAAACCCGCTCGAGCGCAGAAATCACATCTGCAGAAGTTTTGCAGGAACCCGAAATACTGGAGGTGTGCAATACCCGCTCGAGCGCAAGAAGACCCGCTCGAGCGGAACGCCTAAAAACTGAACGACAAGGAATTGAAACCAAGGCCTAACCAACCTGTAACAACCCTGCCCAACACATCCTATAACTCAAATACGAAGTAAAAAGGATGTAAATAAGATACTAATCAACTGCCAACATCCACGGATACATGTCCGGATCACTGTACAACAAGGGTAAACCCGGGATCGCTATAGAATGAATACAACTTTAAGATTAACCACAATTATTTACAGTGATTTGGTCCATGATTAATAATTGCAAATATTATGTATATCAGTATAGAAGCTGACACAAAAAATAAGAAAAAATAATTATTTTTTATTCTTCAATCATCATCAATGTAAAAAGGAGACGATTTTTTTTTTTTATATATAAGAAATGAGACCGTTTATTTATATTTATATAAGACTCTGGAAACAAATATATATCGTTTTTTAATATTCAATTCTAAAAATAAAGAGATAATTAATTTATATAGAACTCTTTATAACTTTTAAAAAATATAATAAATTTAAAAAGATAAAATTAAAATTTAGAAAAAATAAAAAACATTGCAAACTCTTCACACTTTTATTGTAATAATAATAATAATAATAATAATAATAGATGGTAGGTGAGTTGGCTAGATCTTCCGCCCTCATCCCAAATCATATTGGGCACAAGGTAGTCGAGAGTAGGTTCCTATCCAAAAAAAAAAAAGGCGAGCACAGGTTAATTTTAGGATAAATTACAAATATACAGATTTACTTAAAATATAAATTATTTTTTATGATTTAAAAAATTATAAATATTCTTTTGTCATAATTTTTTTATTTAATAAAATTAACTAAAAAATGAAATTCATAATTGCTCTCCTATACAATAATAAAATTATTTATATTATTAATTGAAATATATTTCTAACGTCATTAAAAACTGTTAATTAACTTGATTATTTATTAATAAAAATAACGATTTGTTATAAAATTAGAAATCTTAGAAGGTGGACTATAATTTCGAAAACTATAGGGGACGATTTATATTTTAATTAAATTTCAGAAAGTGTACTTATAATTTGTCCTTAGTTTTATTATGTTAGGAGTGATAGTATTAATAAAAATGAGAAATAATGTTATATTACGAATAATTATTCATAAATGATAAAAATTAAAAGATGTGGGATGAAAAATAATTTTTTAAATAAATAAGCATCTTGAGGTAGAATATTTTAACAGTTTAGAGGACTTTTAGATAGCAAAAAAAAAAGTCAATGTTTAGCTTTTTATCCATTTTAAGTCAAATCGCCTTTCACATTTTTTATTCACAAAAAGAAAAATTAGATTAATAAAGTCAAAAAATCAAATTTTTATTAACTTTCCAAAACACTCCTTAGTTGTGATATATTGAAAAAAAAAATTAAATTAATATTTTAATAAATATAACTTGAGCTGGGCAATTAGAGTTTCAAATTTTTTATCAGGATGGGACAAGGTGAAGTGATTATCCCTATACCTAACTCATACTAACGAAAAACTATTGATTAATCTTATGTGACAGTTTTTTTCACCAATTATAAATCATTATTTTTTTTATATTTTATAATTATTCAACACGAAATTATGGATTCAATCTCTTTTATCTTTCACCATACCATTAAAATATTAGTGGTGCTACATGCATTAATTAATGCATCAATTAGTATTATGACATTATTACTGACCCTAAGTATTATACAAATTACAAACACTTAAATTTTTAAAATTATATTAAATCATCTATTAATATAATAATTGATACATATGACATTATTCTTAAGATATTACTCAATTATGTCTCAGAAAATAACTTCTCCATACTAAATCATTTAAATCCATTCATTTGCATCACATATACACATGTCACATCCTCACTTTCATGCAACAAACCTAAAGTTAATCAATCTCAACGCAATTCGCATGTTGCACGAAACTGGCCCTCTTCCAACTAATGCATTAAAGTGATGAACATTTTTTTTTTTAAAAAGCATTTTCCTTGCAACTGATAGTGCGTAAGTATGTTTTTTTTTTTTTTGGGAGGGGGGGAGCGATTTAAATTTACAGTAATGATTCAGATTCTCATAAAATATCACCTTCACAATTTCCACTAATTTGTAATTGATTCAAGTAAGAAAAAGAAAAAATATATATATATATATAAATACATCATTAGTCCATATCACTGTGGGTGGAGGGGTCTCCCCAAAAGGAGATCCCAAACATTATTGTTAAATTTATTTCTTTAAAAAAAAAAATACATACATACATACCCATTGACTCACACACACAGCACACACACTCTTTTTCCGTCCTTTCTCACTGACTTGCACATGTTTTGACAACTTAATTAAAAATTAATTTTTAATTTTTAATCCATTTTAAGTAATATCATCTCTCACATTTTTTATTCATAAAAAGGTAAAATAACCAACAAAAGTTAAAAAGTTTGTAATAACTCGAAAATTTAAATTGTCTCTTAAATTTTATATTAATACTATTTAATTATAAATGAGAAAAACCTTAAATGTTTAATTAAATATTTTGTAAGAGTAAAATAAAATAAAGTGTAATTTATTTACATTAGGGTCATTGTATAGAAAAAAAAAAAGAACAAACCGAAGCAACACGTAACTTAGGATGATGATTAGGCAGCATAGGTGTAGTGAGTCACATATGTTGGATAAGCATGAATTGATGGAGAAGAATATGGATGAGCCACGTGTATATGGATGAGCCACGTGTATGAGTGGTGACTTGGGGCTCACGAATTAACTCCCTATAAATAGGGAGGAGATATTCAAGTTAAAGAAAAAGAAACTAAGAAAAGGGAAAGAAAATACAGGAAGACGAAAGGGTCTTTGGTAGTGGAAAAAAATAGTGAGGTATTAATTTTAAAGTGAGTTATATTATACTTTGAGTTACCATTATATGTTTTACGTATATTTTGAGTTACCATAGTTTATTTTATGTAAATTGTGTTTTATAAATTATATTAGCATTTTTATTTTATGAACCTTATTTTATATAATAAGGAAAATTCATGGATATAACTATTTATTAAAATGTGTTTTGAATAATTATTTTATAAGTATCACCACGGAGGTCCCATGCCTTGGGGGACTTAAATAACCATTAGCCCTCTGATTAGTCACTTTGTGACCCTATGTCTGTCATGGATCCATTAACACTATGATTTCTGGTGTGGAGCAAAGTTTTGTACGAAGTTAAGTCACTACAAAAAAAGGCGTTTTTTGCGACGGTAAAGAGCCGTCGCAAATGCCCCGGAAGCCGTCGCTAATACTTTTTGCGACGGTAATTTGGCTTTTTGCGACGGTAGGGGGGGTCGCGACAAAGGGGGTTGCAAAAGAGCTTTAGCGACGGTAAGTACCGTCGCCATTAGTTTCTGCGACGATAAGGTGTGTTTTTTGCGACGACACTTTTCCTGTCGCCAATAATGGAAAAAAAAATCAGTTTTCGCGACGGCACGTAATTCCCGTCGCTAAAAGTGAGTTTTTGAGACGGCAACATTACCGTCGCTAAAACTCTGGCATCTTATAAGTATTGGCGACGGCAACGGTTACCGTCGCTAAAGGTGTCTTGTAAATTCCAATTGCACAGCTTTTGCGACTGTGTTGGTGCCGTCGCAAAAGCCTATTATTGTTTTTTGCGACGGGTTCTTCTCCCGTCTAAAAAAAAAAAAAATTTTCAGGTACAGGTAACATGCCACCACCAAGGTCATAGCTTGGGAGGTCTTGGGGTTAAAGTCTCTGTTTTGTTGTTTTCATTTGATGTATATATATATGCTTTTCCTTTCAAGCCGAGGGCTTTAAATTGTAAAGGGCTTCTGACCTTTTTTTGTTGTAACCAAGTTATACTTTGAAAGTTGTAAGCCCATAGGGTACATATTTTTGTTGTTAACAGTTAGAATTACATGCTATGGTTTCAAGATAAACATTTATGAAAGTGTAGTAGGCGTAATACCTTTTGTAATATTAACTCTGATGAATGAGAATAGAACCTTTCTATCATGTGTTATGGATCTTGGGAATGGTTGGGTTATGTTATACTTTGAGGGCGTTATAGTATAATATTTCTTACTCTGCCATGTGCTTATAGTTGTTTACCAAACTTCAGGAAACAATGCAATTCAAAATAGCTTTTAGAGAGTCTTAGACGCGGGGTTGTGGAATAGACACACACAACACTTTTATATTATTTATAATTCTATTATTCATATGTAAATATTGGCCCTTTTTGTCAATAAATTTTGTTATAAAAATAGAACCTTCAATAATTATTTTGGTTCCCTCACTTAAATATTTTTCCACTCGCGTTCAGTAATTTGTTTAAGAATTGGCTAGAGGTAATTCCAGTTACTGGTCATCACGATGCTTAACCCTTAGGTACAGAGAACGGGTCGTGACAAAGTTAATTTTTAATCAACTTTCCAAAACACCCCTTTGTCTCTCTCTATCACATTTCTAACAAAAAAAATTAAAATCACACACACTCACAGTATGCACACTCTCTCTATCACATTACGAATAATTATTAATAAATGATAAAAATTAAAAGATGTAAGGTGAAAAATAATATATAAAAAAAAATAAGCATCTTGAGGTGGAATATTTTAATAGTTTAGTCATATTATATTGAAAAAAAAATAAATTAATATTTAAATAAATATAACTTGGGTTGGGCAATGAGAGTTTCAATTTTTTCATCAGGATGGGATGAGGCGAAGTGATAGTGTTTCAATTCTTTTTATCCCTATACCTAACTCATACTAACGAAAAATTATTGATTAATCTTATGTGGTAGTGTTTTTTACCAATTACAAATCACTATTTTTTTTTTTTATGTTTTCTAATTACTCGACATAAAATTATGAATCCAATCTCTTTTATCTTTCACAATACCATTAAAATATTACTTAATTACGTCTCGAGAAATAACTTCTGCATAGTATGGCTTCGTTTGATAACATTACTTTTTAGCTTAAAAATCAAAAAGTCACTAAAAAAACTAAAAAGCTAACTACCTATACTAAAAAGTCAAAGATTCCATTTTCTCTTTACTTCTTACACATCTTTTCATTAAAAATCAAAAGTCATCTCAAACATATTAATTTTTTTACATGTTATTTTAACTAAAAAACCAAAAAAATTACTAAAAAAATATATTCCCAAATGAGATCCAAATCATTTAAACCCATTCATTTGCATCAAATATACACATGTCACATCCTCACTTTCATGCGACAAACCTAAAGTTAAGGGTTATTTGGGAAGTGTTAGATTAGCATATTTTTTGATTTTTTACGAAAAAATGTAAAATATGAGTTAAGTTTGAAGTGATGTAATAGAGAAGCAATATAACCTAAATAAGATAATTATGACTCAAATAAAATAATGTACTAAAATAACATACCAAACAAACACTTAAAATCAATCTCAACGCAATTGACTTGATTGCACGAAACTGGCCCTCTTCCAACTAATGCATTACGTTGATGAACCTATTTTCGATGAAATAGCATTTTCCTTGAAACTGATACTCAAGCCTGGCCCTTAGATTTTTGAGGCCCAAAATTAATAATAAATTAAAAAATATCACTAGATCATTGGGAGTCTTTCATATTTTTTTTATTTAACCAAAAATTTTTTTGAAAGTAAAGGACAAAAAATTTGTGTTAAAAGAGTTAGGGTTAGGAATTAGATAGGGAGAGAGAGGGCCTTTTTAATTTTGAATGTGTCTTTTAATTTTTTAATGGGTCAATTTATTTTAAGTTAGTTTGGGCCTTCTTTAATTTTTTTTTTTAGATTTAAAACATACCTAATATATTACACTAAACTATAATAGAAGAGGGCCCATTTTTTAAGTATATTATGAGGGGCCTTGAACCATGGCCTGGTGGGCCTATGTCCAAGGCTGGCCCTATTCATACTAGGTAGGTGTACTATGAGTCTAGATAATCTCCAATCTCTTTCTCTCTGTAACGCCCTCAAAATAATACATAAAATCAATCATTTATAAGATCCCAAAATTATAAAAGATATATTATATTTCCATTCATCAGAGTATTCTTTACAAAAAGTATTACATGTTGACAACAAAAATAAATGCCCTAAGGGCTTACAAACTTTCTAAGTCAACACTTGGTTACAACAAAAGATATTTCTAACTCTTAACATATTAAGCCCTTGGCTTGAATTACACGTAATACAAAAAGGTGATAACAAAAATAGGCCTTCAGCTTCTAAACCTCCCAAGCTACATCCTTGGAGGCAGCATATCATATGTACCTGAAAATGATGTCCCATATAGGGTGAGCCAAAGCCCAGTAGAGATACACTAAACCAATTATGAGAAATAACTAAAACATTAGCATTCGATTTACATCATTTCTATAACCCATCAACATTCACAACCATGTTTCAATCCATTCCCTTTCCTTTATCTAAATCAATTCGTCAACATGGTACATTATTTATCCAAACAATTCAAAATGAGACTACAACTCATATTATCAACATTTCTATCATCAACAATTTCAAATGAGACTACAACTAATAAAGACAACACTTCTATCATCAACATCATTCAGATGTATATAAGATTTCGGGACTTTCACCCTGGACACTCCGGCCAACTTAATTATCAATGGAGTCCATCCCCTATCTCCTCCCAAACAATGGAGTATATCTCCTATCTCCTTCCAAACCATGGATTACATCCCCTTTCTCCTCCCAAACAAAGATACATATGCAATGTACTTAAACACTTTATTATATACAATGATGATTTAATGCACATATTCAATGTGTTATTATAACCGTCATATTCAATGACATATTCCAGGTGATTGGTTTCAGTTTACCTAATCATCATGCAGTGTCTACAACAATCAAGACTATCCTCCACCGATAGCCCAAAAGAATTATTTCTAAACAGATAATAAATTTATCAAACAGATAAATTATCAACAATTTCAAAGGTGAGTGATTAATCAATCCAACTATACCATTCAATCTCATAATTTCCCAATTTCATGATTTTCAACTCAATTTCATATTTCCATATTTCCCCAAATTAATTACACAAATTAATCAATCACGTTTAATTAGGGCATTTTCTCCATTTTCTCAACTTTAGCCCTAAGGCTCAATTTCCTAAATTTTACACCAATAATCCCATTTTCCAAGGTCTCACATATACATGGAGCTCAAACAATTGAAAACCCCCTTTCTATAATTTCAAATTCAAACCCTAACTTTCCAAAATTTCCATAACTTCACCAATTAGTCAAATTGACTAAAATTTATGTCAAAACTCATAAAGACGAGTAGTTTATCCCTACCTCAAATTTCGGAGCTCAAAGTGCTCCAAATCCAACCTTTTTCGAATCAAAAGATAGCCCACGCAATACCGTAGCTTTTTAACAAAGGGAGTAGGGTAGAAATCCCTTAGATCAAGTGTATGTGTAGAGAGAAGGAGTGTATAGAGAGAGAAAGAGTCGGATCTAGGGTTTGGAGGTAAAAAGAGATCAAAAAGTGAAGAAGAAAGCCGTTGCTGTGAACTGGTATAGTCGAGGCTCGCTCAACCGAAAAAGTGGTCGCTCGAGCGACCAGACACAAAAAAACCTCGCTCAAGCGCAAGAAGCGTCACTCGAGCGAACAATGCGAAGCTTTAGGTCTGCAACCCAGAAGCACGCTCGAGCGCAGGACTCCTCGCTCGAGCGAAGAAACACAAAACATAGAGCTCGCTCGCTCGAGCGAAGGAAAGCTCACTCGAGCGAAGAAACACAACCTTCAGGTCAAAAAGAGACGCAGACGCACGCTCGAGCGCAAGAGTGCTCGCTCAAGTGAAGAGACACACCACTCAAAGCTCACTCAAGCGAAGGAATCCTGGCTCGAGCGAAGAAACTAAAACACAAAGCTCGCTCAAGTGACAAAAGCCTCGCTCGAGGGAAGAAACCAAAATCTGGACAGCAACCATTTGTTTCAAAACACACCCAACATGTTCCAAACTCACCCAACAAATCCCAAAACTCAAATGCAAAGAATTAAAGGACGGAAATACGATATAGACAACAACAAACATCCACGGAACTGAGTCCGGAATACAATAAAAAATGGAGGGAAAACCGGGATCGCTACACTCTCGTTGTTCTTGCAGGGAATGACTCAGATAGAGCCACGTCACCCGCAATATAGCGATCCTGATTTTTTCCCGTCATTTATTGTATTCTGGACTCGGGTCTAGTGATGGTATGTTGTTGTCTGTATCTCGTTTTCATCATTTCATTCTTTGTATTTGAGTTTTGGGATATGTTGGGTGAGTTTGAAACAGGTTGGTTGTGAATTAGAACAAATGGTTGCTGCCCAGAATTTGGCTTTTTGCGCTCGAGCGAGGCTTTTTGCGCTCGAGCGAGGCTTGGGTATTTGCTTCTTCGCTCGAGCGAGCTTTCTTGCGCTCAAGCGAGTATTGTGGGTCTTCAGGTTACTTTTTCAAACGCAGCTTCCGCTCGAGCGAGCTTTCTTATGCTCGAACAAGCTTTGTGTCTTGTGTCTCTTCGCTTAAGCGAGAACTCTTGCGCTCGAGCGTGTGTTTGTGTCTCTTTTTAACCTGAAGGTTGGTATTCTTCGCTCGAGCGAGCCCTGTGTTTTGTGTTTCTTCGCTCGAGCGAGAACTCTTGCACTTGAGCGTGCTTTTGCATTGCAGACCTGAAGCTTGGCATTGTGTACTCGAGCGACCCTTCTTGCACTCGAGCGAGGTTCTTTTGTGTCTGGTCGCTCGAGCGACCAATCCTTCGCTCGAGCGAACCTCGTAAATATCAGTTCGCAGCATGGGTCTTCTTCTTCACTTTTTGACCTTCTTTTCACTAAAAACCGTAGATCCGGCTGCCTCTCTCTCTAAACTCTCTCTCTCTCTACAAATACACTATGTTCTAGAGGTTTTCTACCTTAGTCCCTTTGTTAAAAGGTTTGAGCTTCGCGTGGGCATCATTTTGATCCAAAAAATCTTG